AAGTTGCATTCTTTGTTTGTTCAATTAGGAATTCAACATAGACAATCCTGTGCCTATACACATGAACAGAATGGTCGTGTTGAACGAAAACATCGTCACATTGTTGAAACTGGTCTGGCTCTTCTAGCTCATGCCTCAGGTCCTTTGAAATTTTGGGATTTTGCCTTTGAGACTACTGTCTATTTAATTAACAGAATGCCATCTTCTGTATTAAATAACTCCAGTCCGCATCTCCTGTTACATAAATCCCCTCCTTCCTATCTTTTTCTTCGTGTCTTTGGGTGTTTATGCTACCCTCATCTTCGACCATATAATCGTCATAAGATGTCATACAGGTCTTCTCCATGTGTCTTCCTAGGTTATCCTGAGTCCTTTAGGGGGTACAGATGCATGGACTTACATACTAATAAGATTTACACATGCAGGCATGTCAGATTTGATGAAGAAGTTTTCCCCTTTGCTACTAAAACTTCTTTGCAGGATCTATCTACTCCGTTTTCTGGACCTTGGGCGGAATCTGTTCTCAGTCACAGCACACCTATTCCTGCCGTGTCCAATGATGAGCTGCCACAACCGCCGCTACCTGCTTTATTCGAACCAGCCGTGGATCCTGGACAGGCTGCCTCGTCGGGTGATCCTGTGGAGCCTGTTGCTCGCCGGCGAGGCCGTCCACGTGGGCGGTCCATCAGGACCAATGTCCGTACTCACTCTATGGCCACTCGCAGCAACGCAGATGCTCCTCTTTTTGCTCTAGCAGCTCAAGTGCATCCCACGGAACCCACATGTTACTCTCAAGCTGTCAAATATCCTGAGTGGCGTGAAGCCATGGACCAAGAATTCAATGCTCTCCTGCATAACCACACATGGTCTCTAGTTCCACCCACTGCAGGTATGAATATTATTGGCTGTAAATGGGTGTTTCGTACGAAGAGAAAGGCTGATGGTGCTATTGAAAGGCATAAAGCCAGGCTGGTTGCGAAAGGTTTTAATCAGGTTCCAGGTCAGGACTTCTTCGACACTTTTAGTCCAGTGGTAAAGCCTACGACTGTAAGACTCCTTCTATCTCTAGCTTTATCATCTGGGTGGTCTATCAAACAGCTAGATGTTCATAATGCTTTTCTGAATGGTAATCTGGCTGAAACAGTTTATATGAAGCAACCCCCTGGTTATATTGATGCTAACTTCCCGAATCATGTTTGTTTGTTAAAAAGATCTCTGTATGGGTTAAAACAAGCTCCCAGAGCTTGGTTTAATCGACTACATACGTTCTTACTATCGGTTGGCTTTCAAGCATCCAAGACAGATGTCTCTCTGTTCTATTACTCTAAAGACTCTGCTTTGGTTTATCTATTGGTGTACGTGGATGACATTCTTGTAATGGGAAGTGATCAAGGTATTATGTCTCAGCTCTTGTCCAAACTGTCTGCTACATTCAAAATCAGAGATCTTGGTGAACCAAATTTTTTTCTGGGTATTGAAACAGTTAAGAGTGACAATGAGATTATTTTATCTCAACAACGGTATATAAATGATATTTTAAAACGGGCTGGAATATCTGAATGCAAACCCCTTTCTACACCTATCTCTGTCTCGAAAACTGTCCCCTTCAATTCAGATCTATATGATGATTCCACACAGTACAGGAGTCTAGCTGGAGCACTGCAATATCTCACTGTCACACGACCTGACCTATCCTTTGCAGTTAATCAGTTATGCCAGCATATGCATGCCCCCACCATATCACACTGGGAGCAACTCAAACGGGTACTCAGGTATGTTAAGGGAACAGTTGATCATGGTTTACGCATACGACGGTGCTCATCTAGAGACATTCATGCTTTCTCTGATTCTGATTGGGCTGGTTGTCCTGACGATCGAAAATCCACGAGTGGTTTTGCTGTTTTCTTGGGGAGTAATCTTATATCATGGGTTTGCAAGAAACAGAGAACTGTTGCCAGGTCATCCACTGAGGCTGAATACAAAGCTCTTGCAGATGTTTGTGCTGAGGTTCTATGGATTATGTCATTATTGCGTGAGATACAGATTCCAGGTATTTCCATTCCAAAATTATGGTGTGATAATCTAGGAGCTACATATATGAGTGTCAATCCAATCTTTCATGCGCGCACCAAGCATGTGGAGATTGATTATCATTTTGTTCGTGATCGAGTAGCTTCGGGCGATATCCAAGTCAACTTCATCTCCACAAAGGATCAACTTGCTGATATCTTTACCAAAGCTCTGCCTGGACCTAGATTTTCTTCCTTAAGGGACAAGCTACAGGTTACTAGTATACATTGTGCTTGAGGGGGAGTATTAGGACTCTATGTATATGAGTCTGTTTAGACTTCTTATCCTTGTCACACTGTGACTCTCTACTTCTTATCATTGTCACACTGTGACTCTCTATTCTATATATTCACATCATCTGATCTCATTGTAATCAAGTTCAGAAAATATAATACAATCAGTTCTCATCCTTATAATGACAAGAGAAAAAAAAAATTTTGAAATTTCAAACATGAGAATTTAAATTCCATCATTATATTCACAAGAAAGGCGCTAGACAGAGACATATACAGAGTAAAGTGACTCCACATACGACTCCAACAATTGAAATTGAAAATCTAGGTTGATAGCAAGTTGTTTAATATGTTTGATTAGCTCAAATTGTGTCATTTTACTTTTCATAGAGTTGTTTACAAGATTAATGTTTAAATAGGTTTCAGTCATAGTTTAGTAATTAATTGAATTTTGTAAAGTGTAAATATTCTTAATTGTACTTTGCTGAAAAAGTAATTTTAGGTGTAGCCCTGTAGAACATAAAGTGTTCTTCAACTGCGTTAAAAATATCAGAGTGTTTTATTATTAATCTGCCATTAATTTTGTGAATTATTCAGTATAGTTGCAAAGAGGCATAAATTGCACTATTGATTTTTGAGGACAACTAAACTTGATTTTTGAGGACAACTAAACTCTAGCCCGTCTGAATGTTCATGCATTATAAACTAACAATAAATAAACATAAAAGTCATTATTATAAAATTTTAGGTTAACTTCTATAATTAAGAAATATCTCACTACATAACAGTTTCTTTTCTATTTGTTATTAAAATGTTACCATTTTTTTTACACCTAGATATCCATTTGTATGCTTTTTTTTTTTTTTTTATAAGTAGATGAGATTTATTCTCATTTCTCACATTAAACATTATTCTTGCAAGATCTCATTCATATGCGTATGTGTCTATGTGTTAATGAAGGATACACCCTTGCACTCTTGATTTTTGTCCATTATCTTGTGCTAAAGAAATTATACATGACACTTAAAATATTGTACATTAAATTTTTATTGTACAAAAAATGCCATAAGTTTAATTTAATTTGTTAAATTATTAGAAATTATATTTATTTAATTTTAACAACATATTTTGTTAATCTTACCACATAAATCATAATTCTATATCGATAACAGGATAATTAACCTAAACAAGTTATTACCAAGACTATGTGGTCTAATGGTACCCGGGTTGGACTTTCATTTGAAAAGTTGTGAGTTAAAGCCTCAGTAGAGGCGTTATTGGCTCTTTGTGTTTCAGTAGTTTGAGAAACAGATACTACAATCTAATAGAGTTAGTAGTATTCAATTCAAAAAAAAAAAAAAAAAAAAAAAAAAAAAAAAAAAAAAACCTAAACAAGTTATGAAAGAAATAATTAACATAGTTTTTAAATCTTTTGCATACTCATTTTTAACTGATTTTTCATACTTCCTTTTCTCTTTTGTGCATTTTAATGTAATAATCATTTGTTTAATTGATAATATATTTACCTTCTCAAAAGAAACTATAAATTATGTTTTAAGATTAGGTATAAAATCTTGTACATGCCACGTAAAAATATAATTGATATATATATATATATATATATATATATATATATATATATATATATATATATATATAGAGGAGGAGGAGGAGGAGGAGTTTCAACATAATTGTTTAGCAGGAAACAAGACTAAGGAAGGGATTGACGTGAAAGTTGGGATAGGGGAAAAGAAAGGGTTTTAATTCATAAGGTTAAAATATGTCATTACTTTAAAATAATAAGGATAAAAATGAAAAAAAAGTTAGGAAGCTAGTAGCTTATTTTGGAACGCTACCTAAAGTAGCGTTCCAAAATAAGCTCTTATTTTAAGCTAGGAGCTTATTTTGGGAATATTACCAAACATAGCTTATAGCTTATTAGTAGCTTAAAATAAGCTATAAGCTCCTAGCTTAGTGTTGCCAAACAGAGTATATATATATATATATATATATATATATATATATATATATATATATATATATATATATATATATATATATATATATAGAGAGAGAGAGAGAGAGAAGTTTGTTCAAATGCAATGCGACCGTGTCTTCCTGTCGGTCAGTGTGGCCGCTTGAAAAACGCACCAGTAATATTAACAAAAGGCACCAATAGTGTTAGGAAAATGCACAACAATGACATGCACAAATACACTAAAAAACGCACAACATATCCAAATTAATGCACCATAACTTCCCACACCTAATTGTGTATTTCTGAATACTGTGTGGTGCATTTATACATATTTAATGGTGCCTTTTTTGGTGATGCATACCTAACCGTGCATATTTGTGTTGTGCATTTTCTAAACATTGTTGGTTTATATTTACATAATTATTAGTGTAATCGCACGTTAAGACGTGACCGTACCTGAACTCTGCTCTAGTATAATTTGAGAAATAAAATAATGGAGAAATCAAAGTTGAAAATGAGCTAGGTTTGAGGAAATGTGAGCAAGGAGGAAGATTGTTGTGCCAAAAAAGCCCTCTAGTAATGAGTGTTGGGTTGGGTGTGTGAATATCGGCTTTGGAATTGACTGTCTGTCTCTCTTCCCTTCTTCCCACGTAACCACGCCTACCACCCAGCGCTTCCCACACGCCCATATTAACCGCCTATATATATTCTCTCTCACTCCGTCAAACTTTCCGTGTAGTCCAATCTCATATTCTCTCATCTCCTCCAATAAAAACCATTTTCGTTCAAAATCAAAAATCCCCAAATCACAGGAAGAAGAAGAAGAAGAAGAAGAAGAAGAAGAAGAAGAAGAAGATGGGTTTACAGAACCAACTCACCGACGTTTCCACCGAGTCGATTCCGATTCTCATGGTGGTCTTCCTCGCCAACGCCGTCGCCTACCTCCGCTCCCTCGTCTTCGCTCTCCTCCGCCTCGTCGGCCTCGCGTCGCGGTTCGACCCCGACCGCATCGACGACACGCTCTACGACGCGGTCGGTTCCGGCTTGGCCGGAGTCATTGTCCTCGCCGAGCAGTTGAATTTGAACCGGATCTTCTCGTACCGGTTGCAGGGAGCCGGTCCTAACTGCGTCGTTTGCCTCGACCGCCTCGGCGACGGCGACCACGTCCGGAAGCTGGACTGCAGGCACGTCTTCCATAAGGAGTGCTTCGATGGCTGGCTTGACCAGCTCAAGTTCAATTGCCCTCTCTGCCGGTCTCCGCTCGTCTCCGATGAGAGCGTCTCCCTCACGCGCCAGCGCGTTGCCGGAGACGTGTTGGCCTGGTTCTCCTTGCGATGATGTGCGGCTATGATTGCAGTAGTTGTTGATATCTTGATGATGCGTTTATGACTTCTGAACTTTTTTTTTTTTTTTTGTTTAAATTTTATTTCCTTTTTTCAGGGAATTATTTACCTTTTTCTTTTTCCGCTTTTTGAAGTGCTCTTTGAAGAGCCCTTTTCAGTTTTCACCGATGCTGTAAAATATTTTCACAGTTTTGCCGGTCAATAAGAAACTTCATATATATATATATATATATATATATATATATATATATATATATATATATATATTGCCCCTTTAAAGTTTTACACTACTCGCTCCGCTTTCTTCATTGCATATACTGTAATTGAGTAATAATCTCTATTGGATTAAAATGAGAGTTAATACCACAAATGGTCTTTTAACTATTGAAATAGTACTTTTTTAGTTTTGGATTATTGATTCGACTAAAACACGTACTTTAACTTTTATTTTTGACTAAAAATAATTTTTTATTAAAATTTTTGTTGAATGAGTGTTAAATCTAAAAATATTATCATCAAATTAATTTATTTATATGATTATAATTACATCTTTTAGAGAGTTATATGAATTATTTTAATATGATTATAATTTATGATTACCTCTTTTAGATAATTATATGACAACATAATTAATTTCAAATATTAATAAAATTAAGTTAATAAATGTACAAATCATATTGTAAAATGTAAAATAAAATTATTATAAATATATAAATTATTCTCGTGTTGTTAAGTTAAAATATTACTTTTTTTAAATTAAAATCTCTAAGAGATAGTTATGATATGTATCATTAGTTCAAAAGTACAATTATGATATATCAAACAAATTCATAGATGATATAGTTTTATGGTATATGTTTATAAATTTCATAAATAACTACTTATTTTGAAAATTTAAAAATAAAATTTATTGTAGACCAATGAAGTTTATAATACATAAGTTTAAAAAAAAAACAAAAACCCTTTTACAAATAATAAAGAGTTAATTCCATTTTTGGTCCTAGATTTATAGGTGACAATTTATTTTTAGTCTTTTTTCTTTTTCAAAACATTTTCATTTAGTCCTAGTATTTTTGTGGCATGACCATTTTTGGTTCCCCATCAATAAAATTGTTTAAATCATGTAAATACAAAAGCATTTAGGTCTTTAATTATATATATATATATATATATATATATATATATATATATATATATATATATATATATATATATATATATATATATATATATATAGTGGGTCAACCCATTTTGTATAAAAAAAATCGAAATATTCTTGTATTTAACAACATTTCAACGATTTTATTTACGAAGGATCAAAAATGGTCATACCACAATCATACTAAGACAAAAGATGGACGCTCTAAAAAAGAATGATTAAAAGTGGACTGCAACCTATAAATCTAGGATAAAAAAAAGAATTGCCCGCACGGGCTTAGCTCAATGGTTCATTGGGCAGTATTTGAGAGAAGAGACCAAGGTTCGAATCTCGACGGCGACAGTGTGGAAATTATATCCAAAGTAGGCAGATTCCTTGTGCGCACCTGGCATTTGGCCCTGTCTGTCGGGCTTTGATTAGATATTATTTGTATTTGATTATAGAGTATATCCCTTTTTGAACTTGTGGTAGGATCAGCGAATTAATAAACTACAAATGTATCTAAATAATTTTATTATCCCTCAAGAGGTGAATACTAGAAGGTCATAAAATTCATGGGGAAAAAATAACATATATAAATAAGAGTTAGGGTAGTAATATAAAGTTAATTTATAAATATATAAAGTATTTCTTATTTATATATAGTTAAGATGAAATCACATTCTTATTGAATTAAAATCTATGAGATAGACTATATGGTCTAATGGTATCCGAGTTGGACTTTTATTTGGAAGGTTGTGAGTTCGAGCTTCAGTAGAGGCGTTATTGTTTCACATTCTTATTGAATTAAAATCTATGAGATAGACTATATGGTCTAATGGTATCCGAGTTGGACTTTTATTTGGAAGGTTGTGAGTTCGAGCTTCAGTAGAGGCGTTATTTACAATCAGGTAATTAAATTGACTTAGTAGGTTACCCATAACTTAGACTTAGTAGGTTACCCATAACTTATCGACTCACACTAAGAAGACCAATAAAATCAAGCTTTCTGTCAAGTCAACTGTCTGACCAACTCGGCTAAAATCAAGTTTTCCTAAAATATAGATTTAACAATAACAATTGATGGTGTTGGGATAAAATCAAGTTTTCCTAAAATATAGATTTAACAATAACAATTGATGGTGTTGGGATACTTGGATTCAGCATAGGCGTGACATTAGATTGAAGGAGCAATTCATGGATCATATTCATATTTAGTTAACCCACATAATTTCTAAAAGAGGTAATTACAATCATATTAATTAATTTGACAATAATACCCTTAGATTTAATACTCATTTAGCATATATTTAACAGATGACTGTTTGTAATCAAAAATAAAAGTCAAGGTACGTATTTTGATCGAATCGAAAGTCGAGAACTAAAATGAGTACTAACCTAATACTCAGATGATCATTTTTTATATTAACTCTTAAAATTATTATTCATATTTATACAGAAAACAGTAAAAGTTGGAGGATAAATACCACTGTTATTCTCCTTCAATTAAGCACATAATTATGTGCAATTTTCATGTTCAGTTATTATTAATCACCATCTCACATTAGGCTCGGAAAATTATATTGCTAAATGAATTCACTCTACAACTCAACTATTGGTCCCCACCTAAAACTAAATTTTGTAAAATGTTTAAAAGTCAAGAATTCAATCCAATCAAATTTAAAAAATAAGATTAAATTTTAAAATGTTAGATCCGGTTAAAAATGGAATTAATTCATTAACTTTGCACCTGAAATGTTAGCCCTCATTTTAGGATTAAATCTTAAATCAAGAATTCAATGCGATTAAATTTAAAAGATAAGATTAAATTTAAAAAGAAAAAATTAATTTATATTCCTCACAAATATGTCAATTATTAATGTTACCTCTGAATTATTAATAGTGTAAATGTTGTTCATCAATTTTCAAAACATGAAATATATTGCTCCTCCCTTAAATTATTAGTACTGTAAATGTGGTTACTTGTCGTTTTCCTGTTCGAAGACCACGTCTTTTTTCCTTCACTTTTCTTTCTTCATTTGTTCCATTTCCGCCGACAACAATGTTTTTCCTTTTTCCTATTAGGGGAGGGAAAATATATGTCACGTTTTGAAAATTGAGAGACAACATTTACACAACTACGGTAATAATTGAGGATGACATTGATAATTGACATATTTGTGAGGGTCATAAATTATAATTTTTTTTCATTAAAAAAAACAAAAAAAGCATCATTCAAATTGGAATTAATTCACTAAAACTCAAAAATAAAATAAATTTAATGAATAAGTTTTGTGTGAGATAATCCCACCGTAAGACGTGAGAGATAATGAGATTAGGAATCAAATAATTAGGGTGTGTTTAGTTCATGAATTTACACACCAGGAATAAGAATTAAAATCATAGTTAATATTTGGTTGACAACTTTTTAAAACACAGTTATGAGATTTGATTACCTCTTCAATTAAAAACTTCATTCCTTAATTAAAAAGGGTATCATCCCATCTTATTGGTAATATGATTTTTAAGTTTGGATTAGTGCTTTTATATTTTTGTTTTGATTTTTTTTTTGTTTATATTGGTGCTTTGGATATCATTATAATAAGATCAATTGCCTTAATTTTTTATTTTTGTATTTTTAAAACCTTTATTCTCATTATAGGGTCATACATAATCAAACATCAATATTGGTAATCATTCCAATTCTACCCTACTACCAAAATGTAAAATACTTTCACCAAAACTTATTACATACCATTACGAAGTATTTATTTTTCATCCCAATTTTGATTCCCTTGTTCGAACCAAACACACCCTTAGTAATCACAATGAGTTTTTGGAAAAGTAGGCATATCACATATGCTTGATAAACAAGAAATTGAAATAAAAATGAATAAAATATTGAATCGCACGTGTTTGGTTTGTACAATTAAATCCTAATCAGAATGAGAATCAAATACTTGATAATGTTAATGAGTTTTGGTGAAAGTGTTTTGCATGTTTGGTTGTAGGATGGAATTGGAATGATTACAAATATTGATGTTTGGTTATGTATGAAACTATAATGGAAATAAAGATTTTAAAAATACAAAAATAAATAATTAAGGCAATTGATCATAATATAATGACACCCAAAGCACCAATATGAACAACAACAACAAATATCAAAACAAAAATCTAAAAACACTAATCCAAACTTAAAAATCATATTATCATCCAATAAGATAGAATGATACCCATTTTTAATTTAGAAATGAGTTTTTAATTGAAGGGGTAATCAAATCTCATAGTTGTGTTTTAAAAAGTTATCAACTAAATACTAATTATGATTTTGATTCTCATTCTTGATGTGTAAACCCATGAACCAAGCACACCCTTATATTATCCATAAGATATAGCTGACTGACTCAAACCAAGAAAAAAGATGATAGGCCACTTCCACTAGGAGTGTGATTTGAAACATTGTGGTTATCAAGTCAATAATTTAACCTAGGGGTGGACGTTTCGAGGTTCCGTTCGATTTTTTCAGTTTCGATTTCGGTTAAGATTAGTTCAGTTCGGTATTGGGTTCGGTTTGAGAACCCCAATTTTCAATATTTCCAAATTTTCCAAATACACTACCATACAATACATATTCACATAGTTCAAATCCAAAATCTAAACATTATATAACAAAATAACAATCCAAAGTTTAAACACACTACTAAGTACTAATTACCAAACATAAATTGACTTTTTTACCCAACCGACTCTTCAGTTCACTCATTTGGAATATTTTGTTGACAAGATGTATAGTCAATATTTGGAGAATAATTGTCAAATACTGTATAGTTAATTTTTGAACACAATCCGTCATTGTTTGGCAAAATATATTTTCAGTGCACTATCATAAAGAAATCAAATAAAAAATTTAAGAGAGATACTCGTGAGAATATGAGCTGAACGACGGAGCAGGCAACAAGAGACTTAGATTTACTTCTTTTAATAATAATAATAATAATAATAATAATAATAATAATAATAATAATAATAATAATAATAATAATAATAATAATTATTATTATTATTATTATTATTATTATTATTATATTGATATAAAAAAATAATATTCAGTTCGATTCAATTTTTTACCAAATTAATCGATATACAAGAATCTATTACCATTCAATTGTTTAGTGTATTACAACTAGTTCAATTTAATTCGAGAAAATGGAACCAAATTACTCGCCCCTAATTTAACCAATATTTGGTACAATAGCATCTAAACTTGGTAGAATTAATGCGAAAACAGGTCCACGTTACAACTTGGGCAGTGTGATCATTTTCGGCATACAAGTATGTGGTGGCCTTGGAAATTTTGGCAATAATATCGCCAAAGGAGCTAGGGGCTCTTTTACAGATTACGACTTTACAACTAGCTTCTATTTAATTCCAGTCTCTACTTGTATCTTTTTGTCCCTAGTCGGAGCATATAATTGCAAGGTCATTATAATTAGTAAATGAATATTCACAACCATAAACTCTCTCAGCTTTGTGGAGGAGATCTTTGTAGTGGGATTATAGTCAATGATAAGAAATTATTGGTTGGTATTAATCTCATTACAAGTAATTAAATACACAATTTAAGTTTCTTCAACTTCTTCCTCAAAGATTGAATTTCCAAACCCTCAGAATCTTTCATATCTCGATTAGACAGAACATTTGAGATGATATAAATCACAGTAACTCAATGGCTCAGTATAATCTCACTTCCCTCAAATACTACCTATTAAACTAATGAGCTAAGTCTATGAAGGCTAAATTTTTTCAATTTAAAATTGTATTTAAGAGAGCAATTAAAGCAGTTTACTACATTAAGAGCTGTTCAAAAGACTATTTAAAAGAAATGTGATTAAAGTAATTATTAGAACGGTTTGTCAGACCTTGTGGTCTAGTAGCATGAAGTTGATTTACATCCTCCTAAATGCTCTGTCGGGTCGAGGTGTGGGGGCTCTTAAGGTTGGGGTTCAACCTTTTGAAAGAATAAAGTTGACTTTCTCAAATGGGAGATCATGAGTTTGAGTCCTAGTGGGAGCCAAAGTAGATATGAACAGATATATTATATTGTAACAGAATCAGTATTACTCACTCAAAGTTATTATTATTATTAGGGAAAATGGCACTTCTTCCCCCTAAGTTATATACTTATAGCACTTTCTCCCCCTGAATTATTCAAGTGGCTGTTTTCCCCCCTGAAATGTTAAATGGACATATTTACCCTTAAAATAAATATTTAAAATAAATATTTCATTTATTTTCCTTCTCCAACAAATTATGACAATAATTTGGTTCAAACCAAACAAACACTATAGCAACCAAACCGAAATATTCCAATTACAATTTAGAATCGAAACTCGATATTTAGAGTTTATTAAAATCGCGAACCGGAACGGACGATTCATGTACCGAACTGAAAAAATAAAATATATTTATTGTTGAATTTAGACTATTTAAAATAAAAAATAAAATTTTAAAATAAAGACGGTTCAAAATTGCGAACCGGATCCAGAACCGCCGATTCACAGTTCAAGATCAAAATTTTTTTATTCATAATTTTAATAAATTGAAATCCAAATATTAGGTTTAGATCTGAATCATAACCGAAAACTTTTAATCCAATTGCTATAGTGTCCGGTTCAGTTTGATCTGAACCGTGGTCATCCCTACGTATACGCGATAATTTGTTGGAGAAGTAAAATAAATAAAATGTTTACTTTAAGGGTAGAAATGTCAATTTAATATATCAGGAGGAAAAATCACTACTTTTAGAATAATTGAGAGGGTTAATGTGCTTACCTAAATAATTGAGGGGAAAAAATGGCTATAAGTATATAAGTTAGGCTAAAAAGTGCCATTTTCCCTTATTATTATTATAGCGGTTTAATCACAAATCACTATCCGAATCTTTAACTAATTGCTTGGCTTATTGGACCCCATCTCATTGAATTTGGCAAAACATTACATCCGACCTTTTTATTTTTAGTTCTTTTGTTCAATTTTATGTGTCATATTCACTATTTTTTTTTTTTTTCTTAATAGTAATTTCATTGTTGTTTTCAAATATATAATTTTTATATATTAGTATTAAACTAAATATTAAAAAAAAAAGAAATTATAAATAACTTAAATCGAATTTTATATTGTTATACTGACATATAAAATGAGATGGATGGAACATTTTTTTTTAAATTTAAATTATAAGGGCCCTCATTATATTTGGCCCACAACTTCAATTTGGTCCGTGGGCCTCATTTTCATTGTTGTTATTTTAATAAGCTAAATCCCTGGTGGCTATAGCTAGCTACAAGCTGTCACCATTGCTTGGACCATCAACATAAATGCCATGATTTTATTTCCTTCTTCATTTTCACTTGTTTCCCATCATATTACATTCTTCCAAAAGGTTACACTCCAACGCTAAGGACTGACTCCACACCCCGACCCCATCATATTATATATTTACATATACATAATACATGAAGAGAAAGTAGGCTTTCAAATGTTTTGTATGATCTGTTTGCCCATTGTTATACCTTGAACCACAGTCTTACATTGTGAATCTTGATTAAAAAATTATGTATCTGCAATTGATATCCTGTACTTGCAGTTAATAGTTTATGTGTCAGTAAATAAATTGAAGCCACATAACATGGTAACTATAAATACATAATTGTTTGTAATTAACATGTTATGTGCCTTTAATTTATTTACAGGCACAAAACTTGTAACTGCAAGTACAAAATATGTCAATTACAGACACATAATCTGAAAGTTATTTTGAATTAAGGTCCACAATTCAAGGTACACCCTAGTCCATGATATAATTTGCCCTGATTTGCCAAGTTGGCTTGAGTATGAACATTATTGTTTGATTGAGTTAATACCATTTGGGGCTCTCTGAGTATAGTGATTTTGTCACGTTTAGTACTAAACTTTCAAATTCACTATTTGTGGTCTTTTGACTTTCAAATTGTTACCATATGTAGTTCTTCAACTTTCAAGTTAACAACTCATAGTCCTTCAACTATCAAATTTTAACCAGCCGTGGTCCTTCCCAGAGGACCATGGCGGGTTAAATTTTGAAAGTTGAAAGACCATGACTAGTTAACATTTGATAGTTAAAGGACTATGAGTGATTAACTTGACAGTTAAAGGACCACATGTGGTTAACTTGAAAGATTATATTAGGACTAAACATAGCAAAATCACTGTACTTGGAAGACCTCAGATGATATTGACTCTTTTTTCATGTTTATTTAATGAGTGTGCAATGATTTATTCAATTTGAAGTAAAGTTTGAATGTTGAATTTGTGAATTAATAATTGGTGAGTCTTGGCCAATCATCTTGTGTTCAGATGAAACCTCTGTGGTCCTCTTAAGGGAAGGTCATACTATTGTAAATTTTAATAGGACAATAGTAGTAAAAAAAATGGTGAGTCTTGTAATATTAACACTGAGTACTATTGACTCTATTACAAGGTTCTAATACAGCTCAAAGAGTCAATTTTCCACCACCGGAATTTGATCTTGTGACCTTCCTTAAGGGGAGCCACAGAGATGCCATCTGAGCACAAGGTGCTTGAATTGGCATATCTCCATTTATTAACATGGGAAATTGTAGCATCAATATATTATTTTCTCTATTAATTAAATTTAAAATAAAGTTTAATTGCAGAGTTTATGAAGAAATGATTCTCTACTCTCTTAAATATTTACACTTGTCATATTCTTTTTTATTTGAAAGCCAACAAAGCCAAATATATAGATTAAAGCATCAAATGGTTCAAAAACAACGGTGGAGAAATTCTCCAAACAAAACGAGAGGTAAAAGCACTATCATCTTTAGCTAAAATATGGGCTACCCGATTGGCGTTCCTACTGATAAAACTAACACAACAACGAGGAATAGAACTAATCAACTGTAAACAAGAATGAATAACATGCCCAATATATGAGCGAAAATTGACTCTTGGATGTAGGTTTAGACATAGAGTTTGCGAGTCAGAGTATGGGATGACATCTGAATACCCGTGCTCCTTCAACCAAGATAGCGCTTCCCGAACTGCCATGGCTTCAGCTAATAAAGGATCCCGAGGACAATTTAAGGGGTCGTTCATCGCTGCTTCGAATGTGTTATCCCTGTTTAGGAGATAAAAACCAAATGTCGCTACATTATTTGAGGTGTGTAGGCCTGCATCCACGTATCCAATGTTGGATTCAGCACTGTGTATTTGTTGGTTTGGAACGAAAGTGGTAAGAAAAGTTCTGTATTGTGTCTAAAACACTGCCTTAAAAACATTTATGACCAGGGATTAAATCGCATGTTTTCGACCGGCACAACAGAACAAAAATCTCAGGCAATAATAATGAAAGCTGGCAGGATGGTTTTCGAACTGGGAGAAAACCTGCAGAAACTGGCAGTGTTGTTTTGTACTGTTTATAGCCCAATTGAACAACAAAGGACAGCAACTTTATATACTAATGGATTTGTAACAGCCCACCACTCACCACCCATTATTGTAGGACTACAAAATAGCCAAGACCATCTCTGTACACTCATTCATGGAGTTGTGCGGACAAGGTCACTACATGATCCACAAAAATAGGAGTGAGAAAAAAGGTTTTGGGAGCAAAACATTGACCCCACCACACGTCGTGACGAGCCAAGCCGGACTGGCCGACGGTGGCGGCGGTACACGCGTGGTTTACCCCTTTTCCCTTCTCATAACACTTCAAACTATCTCAAAAGGCTTGGAGTATATAAGTAGGGAAATAAGAGGTTATTCTATCAATGTGGGACAACTTGGTTAAGCTATAAGAAGCCTTTCCCTTTAAATGCTCCCAACAATCCCCCACCATGAAAAGGGATTAGGCTGGTGCTAACATTGCCTGAATACGACCAAAGCAAATTTTCATGCTAGGGTATAGAACTTGAACTGTCATATAGTGACATTAAATACTTCTCTGTGCGGGAGTGAATTAGATCTTGAACTCACCGAATAGACAAAGTTTGAACTTAAATGCACTTAATTTGCTCTAGTCGCCATAAATTGTGTATGGTCATACTCTTGACCCTGAAATATCCCCTGTTAGGTCTATTCTGGTTTAGACCTTCAACTCTGTCAAGTCTACCTCGACGCAGACCACCATGGTTGGCTACAGAGCATGTATGGGTTCCAGACCCATTTCCCTTGATGTATCAAAGGATAGCCTTTCTATTTAGGCCCTTTGTGAAAGGATCTGCAATATTCCTTTCAGATCTCACAAAAACCATTGTGATCACCCCATTTATTATCAACTGCCGTACAGACTCATGTCTGACTCTTATGTGTCTACGTTTCCCATTGTAGACATTGTTTTGCGCAACGCAGATGGCAGTCTGGGAATCACAGTGTATGGGAACAGCAGGTGCTAGGCAGCCCCACAATGGCACGTCTGCCAAAAGATTTCTCAGCCATTCGGCTTCCTGACTTGCTAGATCTAGAGCTATGGACTCTGACTCCATAGTTGATCTAGCTATACAGGATTGTTTGGTTGACTTCCATGATAACGCGGCTCCGCACATAGTGAACACATATCCACTAGTCGAGCTTACATCATCAGTGTCATTTACCCAGTTTGCATCACAGAACCCTTCGAGCACAGCTGGGTTTCCTTTATAGCTAAGGCCCCAGTCTATCGTGCTTCTTAGGTATAGTAGTACCCTTCTCAGTGCATCCCAATGTGGGATACCAGGGTTGTGAATATACTGACTGAGTTTATTCACAGCAAATGCAAGATCTGGTCTAGTATAGTTCATCAAGAACATTAGACTCCCAATTATCTTTGCATATTCTGCTTGAAACTCACAGGCCTCTATGTTCTTTGACAATTTGATGCTGGGATCATAGGGGGTTTTCGCCGGAGTTACATCATAACTCTCAAACCTCTTCAGTAGTTTCTCCGTGTAATGACTTTGAGATAAAATGTAACCTTTCTCTGTTTTTGTAACCTTTATTCCAAGTATTACATCAGCCTCCCCAAGATCCTTCATATCAAACTTGTCACATAGAGTTCTTTTAGTCTCTTTTATAGCTTCTATACTTGAGCTAAAGATAAGCATGCCATCTACATAGAGACAGATTATTACGATGCTAGACTCTACCTCTTTTGTGTATAAGCAGGCATCTGAGCGGTTATTGGAATAACCTAGCTCTAACAAAGTTTTATGAAACTTTTTATACCACTGCTTAGGAGCTTCTTTCAAGCCATACAGAGATCTTTTAAGTCTGCATACCTTTCCTTCTTGTCCCGGATCAACACATCCGGGAGGTTATTCCATGTAGATCTCATCTTCTAGTTCACCATTGAGGAAAGCTGTTTTCACATCCATTTGATGTACTATCAACCTGTGAAAAGATGCTAAAGCAAAAAGAACACGTATGGTAGCTATCTTTGTTACTGGTGAATAAGTATAGAAGTAATCATCACCGAATTTCTGTGTGTATCCTTTAGCTACTAGTCTGGCCCTTTAAATCTTTCAATTGAGCCATCTAGTCTCAATTTCCTCTTGAAAATCCATTTACAACCTATGGGTTTACAACCCTTAGGCAAATCCATTATTTCCCACGTATGATTAGACTGTATAGAGTCTAACTCACTTTTAATTGCTTCTCTCCATATAGTAGCGTCTACTGAGCGCATAGCTTCTTGAATGAATTTTGGTTCTTCTTCTAACACAAGTTGACATATAAATTGATCACAAAGTTCATTTAGATCTTTCAATTCCGTCATATATGTTATGAAGTCTGAGCCAAAGTTTTTCTCAATTCTAGGTTTTTTACTTCTTCTAGGCTCTTCTGAATTACATGAGAAATCAGGGAAAGAAAGATTTTGTTGAACTTTATTAGCATCTAGATCAAAAGCACCCTTCAGAGGAAACACGTGTTCAAAGAAAACTGCATCTCTAGATTCACTGATTGTACGGTTTTCTAAACACATAAATCTATAAGCTGCACTGTTTTCAGCATACCCAACAAATACTGCATTTAAGGTTTTAGGACCCAAGTTAGGCCTTTTAAAGGACGGTAGTCCCACCTTTGCCAAGCAGCCCCAAACCTTAAGGTATTTAAGATTAGGCGCATGTCCTTTCCACAGTTCATAAGGGGCTTTTTCAAACCCTTTGTGCAAGACCCTATTTAGAATGTGGTTTGCTGTTAGAACAGCTTCCCCCCACAACGAGTCAGAAGCACCTGAACTGATCAGCATAGCGTTGATCATCTCTTTAAGAGTTTATTTTTCTTTCATCTATGCCGTTTTTTTGGGGTGTGTAGGGTGCTATTACTTCGTGTATAATACCAGAAGATTCACACAGATCTTTTAGGAAATTTGATTCATATTCTCCTCCTCTATCGGATCTAATTCTTTTGATCCTTTTTTCCAACTGATTTTCTACTTCATTTTTAAAAACAACAAATTTTTGTTCAGCTTCACTTTTTGATTTCAGCAAGTATAATTTTGTATATCGGGAAAAATCATCAACAAACGTTATATATTAACGCTTACCACCTCGACTTTCAGTGGTTTTAAAGTCTGCTAAATCAGTGTGAATCAATTCTAGTAATGATGAAGTACAATGCTTTACAGTTGAAAAAGATGTTCTAGCAAATTTTGCCTCAGCGCATATTTCACATTGTTTACATGTATCATTAGACAAGTTTGGCAACATGTTCACGTTTTTCAGTCTATTTAAGCATTTTGTACCAACATGTCCTAATCTAGCATGCCAAACATTAACTGATACAGTAATATAAGCAGAATGAGCATTCTTATTATCACGAGCAATCAGAGAAGATCCAGATACATCAGGGTGATTGTTAACTATAGAAACATCTAGTACAAAAAGACCTCCACGCAGATATCCCTTCCCAATGAATTTCTCACAACGAGTCATAACCAGACTGTCAGACTCAAAAACCATCTTGATTCCAGCCTTATTTAGAAGGTCTCCGAAAATCAGATTTCTTCGAAGGGAAGGGACATAAAGCATATTTTGTAGCAATAAATGTTTTCCAGAACAAAGCAGTAATTCTACTTTTCCTCTACCACTTACCTCGGAAACGCTGGAGTTTACCATGAAGACTTGTTCTCCACCAGTGATAGGCTCAAAAGTTTTGAATGAAGCTTTGTTATTGCAAAAATGTCGTGAAGCTCCAGTGTCCACAACCCATTCATTTGGATTTTCCACCACGTTGGCCTCAGTTATAACTGCAGCTACTAAGTCAGCATCTCCCGTGTTCTCTATGAAGTTAGCTTGGTTTTTTTGGCCTCTCGTTGTTTGGCTTCTGACCATTCTGACTCGTGGACCCTTTGCGTTGATAGCACTGGGCAGCACGATGGCCTCGTTTACCACATACATAACATTCACCTGAATTTTTCCCTTTTTTCTGAATTTTTCCACCCTTACCGCGAGTGGAACTGTTATTCTTATAATTTTTCTTTTGGTTTCTAGAGTTGTCACCAATTTTTGACTTGTCAAACCCAGAGTTAGTCTCAACAATATTAGATTTAACATTGTCAGTAAGAATAACAGACCTTTGAACTAGACGGTTTTCTTCTTCGATATTCACGCTATTTATTAGCTGTTGCAGTGTGTAGCTCCTGCGGTCATGTTTCATCTTGTTCTTGAAGTCCACCCACGAGTCGGGCAGTTTTTCAATCAAGGAGTCACATAGGACCACTTCATTAACTATTCCACCTTCTGCTTTCATGTCACCAACCAGATTCTCAAACTCGTGTATCTGTTCGATTACAGGTTTGGTGTCCACCATTTTAAAGTGTAACCAACGACCCACAGCATATTTGCGTCTCCCCACATTATCAGCACCATATTTCTTAATCATTAAATCCCAAATTATTTTTGCAGATTTGTATTCAGAAAACATATCAAACAACGGGTCACTTACACGTTGGAGAATGGTTGTCCGGGCAGTCTTGTTATCTTTATCATATTTGATGCGAGCTGCCTCGGATGCTGATGAAGCTTGAGCTGATGATGACTTTGGGTCCTTGAATGCATTTGTAGACTTCAGGTCTGTTGAAGGAGATGAAGTCGTGGTCTGCGCAGCAGGTTGTGTTGCAGCCACGTTAAATTTTGCAAGATCTTCAAAAAAGACATAGTCCACATCCTTTGATTCCAGGAGCATGGGCATTTCCGCAGCCCATCTTTTGTAATTTAAACCACCAGTAAGTGATTGAACTGGAGTAACATCAGACACAGTGTTTGCTATTTCCGACATTCTTGACTCTACTTGGTAATAAATGTTTTTAACTGTTGGGTTCAGCACTGTGTATTTGTTGGTTTGGAACGAAAGTGGTAAGAAAAGTTCTGTATCTTGTCTAAAACACTGCCTTAAAAATATTTACGACCAGGGATTGAATCACATGTTTTCGACCGGCACAACAGAACAAAAATCTCAGGCAATAATAATGAAAGCTGGCAGGATGGTTTACGAACTGGGAGAAAACCTGCGAAAACTGGCAGTGTTGTTTTGTACTGTTTATAGCCCAATTGAACAACAAAGGAAAGCAGCTTTATATACTAATGGATTTGTAACAGCCCACCACTCACCACCCATTATTGTAGGACTACAAAATAGCCAAGACCATCTCTGTACACTCATTCATGGAGTTGTACGGACAAGGTCACTACATGATCAACAAAAATAGGAGTGAGAAAAAAGGTAGGAGTGAGAAAAAAGGTTTTGGGAGCAAAACGTTGACCCCACCACACCGTGCCAAGCCGAGCCGGCGGCGCGCGCGTGGTTTACCCCCTTTCCCTTCTCATAACACTTCAAACTATCTCAAAAGGCTTGGAGTATATAAGTAGGAAAATAAGAGGTTATTCTATTAATGTGGGACAACTTGGTTAAGCTATAAGAAGCCTTTCCCTTTAAATGCTCCCAACATCCAATTCTTCCAGTAAAAGCCAGCCGCTCCGGACACAAGCTAGACACCTCCACCCTTCTCCTAATCAGATTGGACGCCGTGGGGAAGAGCGATGAAAGTGCTATCCCAAGAATGACTTCCATTTGGGTGCTACCTGGAGGTTCTACAACCTATTCCAAACTTCATTAGATGGTGTGGTAATGTCACGTAATCCCCTATAGCATCCTCTTAAATCCCCTTGCCAAAACCAAATATCTACATTCTCAAAACTCACTGGTGTTTGGAGAATTAATGTAGTATCCATAGGGTCAAAAAGGTGGTGAACTAGATTTGTATCCCAGTTTTTGGCCAATGGATTAATTAGGTCCCGATCTTTTGCTCTTGAGTCATTCCGGATGGCACTGTGTGTACAAACGTGTACGTCATGGGGATCAGGAAGCGAAGGGTGTATCCATATGTTAGTATCTTTACCATCTCCAATCTTGCGTCTAACTCCTGTTCTAATTAGGTTTTGGCTTGCCACGATACTCCTCCACACATAGCTAGGATTACCGCCCAAGGATGCCTCAAGTTAAGAAAAGAAGCTTTAGGATAGTATCTAGCTTTAAACAAACGGGTCACTAGGGAAGTGGGATTGGTTAATAAACGTCACCTTTGTTTACCTAGTAAGGATAGATTAAACTCGTGTAAACGTTTGAAACCCAAGCCACCATACTTCTTGGGGGTTCACATTTGTCCCTTGAAAGCTAATGAATACCGTCAACAGAACTATTCTTACCCTACTAATACCTATTCATGAATCTTTACAAAGAGATACACAACGTCGTCTCAGATCAGGCAACAGGAAAATACTCATGGTATAGGTATGTAGGCATGGCCTGGCCACACTCTTCAAGAGTACTTCTTTACCCGCCTTAGATAATAGCCGTTTATTCAATGACCCGAATCTATGATTCAATTTCTGCTCAATATAGGAAAAAATGACTCTCCTATTTCTACCAATTACGGAAGGTAGCCCCAAATACTTACCAAAATTCTTAGATTGGGTTACTCCTAAAGCCACAGTAATTTCCTCCTTCACCTCCTCCTTAGTATTGCGGCTATATGAGATGTTTATGGTAATTCACTGCTTGCCCAGAGAAAGTTTCATAAACCTGTAGGCATCTCTTAACCTCCATAGCTTCCTGCATGTTTGCTTTAAAAAATAAAAGGCTGCCATCTGCGAAAAATAAGTGGGAAATAGGTGGTGCCCCACGTGCTACTCTACATCCATGTATTAGACTACCTTTACTCTGGGTATCCTGTAAGAACGCTTTCAGCACAAATAATAAATAATTAGGGCGATAAAGGGCCCCTTGTCTTAAACCCCTAGTGGGGGTAATTACGTCACTAGGTTTCCCATTTATCAAAACTCTATACTTCACCGTTTGAACACACATCATGACTAGATTAACCCATCTCTCATCAAAGCCCAAACCAAGTAACATTTGTCTCACAAAAGGTCACTCCATCCTTCATAAGCTTTAGCCATATCAAGTTTGAGAGCTGCCCAACCAACATATATTACCAGTTATTTTCTTCTAAGGCTTCGTTTGGAAGTAGTAAAATGACATCTGGAAAATGAGTCATTTTCCAGAAAAAATTTCCCCTTCCGGTGTTTGGCTGCACAATGGAAAATTGTCTTTTTGTGTTTGGTTCATTTTCCGAAAAATGAACAGAATTGTATACTTCAACATTTTAATTCAATGATATTGTAAAAAAAATATAGAAATCAGTTGGCCAGACTGGTTTTCTAGAAGTTTCCAGCCAGGAAACAATTTTAGATATCAGATCTGGAAAAAAATAGCCATAAAAAAAATATTTTACTATCCGAGAAAATTCTGTCTGGCGCAATCGAAAAAAAATTTGAAAAAAATACTTCTTGGACTCCTTTTTGCTTGAATTTTTTTTGGAGAACCTACACTTATATAACTTGATATCCAAAAAAAGTTTGGATTGAAAACATGTTCCAGTAATCACAGAAAATTCCGTTAAGTTCTTGGCAGTGTGCTGTCCAAAAACTTTCTGTCTGTAGCAGTTTAAGGGAAAATTCGACAAAATTACTTCTAGGCCTTGGATTGATATTAAAATTTTGATGTATGTTCTAGACTTGATGAACTTCATATCTGTAAAAATTTGTATCAAAATTAGTTACCAAATACTCAGAAAATTTCACAATCTAGGTCAAAAATTTCTGAATTTTCTGCCAGTTCCAATATATATATATATATATATATATATATATATATATATATATATATATATATATATATATATATATATATATATATATATATAATTTTATAATATCTAACTATAACCTAATAAGTAATAACCATAATCCTAGTTTAATGTTTTAAAATTTTAGACTATGGACTTTATAAGTATTGTTATGTATTATGTAATGTCTAATGTTTTGATGAACTATGTCTTATGTTTGTTATGTAACAAATTATTTTAATTATTTTTACAGTGTATACAAATAGTAAAAATTTAAAAAGTATCAAACTAACAACTTACGAGTTAAGAACAAAAAAAAAAAAAAACAAAAAAACAAAAACAAAAAAAGGTGGCGACCGCCGATCTAGCCCGCGGGGCGAGCTGGGCTGGTAAAATCCAGGCCTGACCCGCCTTGGCTCGTAGCCCGGTGGGCTTTGGCCAGCCCGCATTAATAGCTCTGGACGTGAGGAGGGTTGGGGCGTGAAGAAGACATGCGGGTTGGAAAATGACTTCCCAAAAAAAAAATGGAAAGTCATTTTCTCCTAAAACATACATATTTTTCTTTGATTAAGGCATCAGTTTCCATTGACCTCATTTTCCCCCCTCTTGCCAAACACTGGAAACCCGGAAAACATTTTACAGAAGTCATTTTTCGGGTTTCCAAACGCACCCTAAGATAGTGACCTACCTCTGAGGCAACCAATATATTATCTGAGATCAATTTGCCAATCATATTACATATAGAAGTCCGGTTCATGCCATCAGGACCAGGTCATTTATCCTTCCCCATAGAGAACAAAGCCTTTCTCAGTTTCCCACGACACAAAGGAACAAAGAAGTGATGTGTTTGATTATATTAGCATTTGCTAAGGGCATGCATCTCCAGCCAAAGAGAAAGAAAGGGGAGAAAGGAGGAGAGATAATCAAATAGAGGGGAGAAAATATTAATTTCTGGAGAAAAGCGGAGTGATGATAATCACGTCCTACATGAGACGCGTAGTAGGCGGGGAACATGCTTGCTATATTATTTAAACTTTTTATTGTTTTCTTAAATATTAAGACGTTTCAGGCTTGATTTATCATTTTATTTTTATTTTTACTAGTATTGTTACTAGTGCGTTGCACGAAATGGATTTGTTATAATATTTTAAGAATATTTGGATTAATATACAATTATATAAATTATAACAATGAATATTATATAGTGCAATTGATGAAATGAGTTGGAAAAATTATGTTTTATGATGTTATCCTTGCTTGAATTTGAGCAATTAATTGTCCAATTATCCGTGCGATGCATGGATATAATTTTTTATTATATATTTAGAATATTTAGATAATAAAATTAAAGATTAAATTATAAACAATTTTAATATTTGAAAGTGTACATTTATTTGATTATAAGATCAATGCAAAAGTATAACTTAATTAATTTAATAATATATGACTCGTTTATATGCAATTACCTTTTAAAAAAAATCGATATGTAATATGATTTATGTAATTATATTATTACTAAAATAAATATGGAAAAAAGGGATAAATAATTTAATTGTAATTATTATAAAAATAAATACAACAATCCATGTTTAGCTTAATTACCATAATAATTATTAAGTAATTATTATTAGGCAATTATACTAATATCTGTGCAATTATACTTTTATACCGTAAGTATATATTCCTTTCCATCATATCACATTTACTTTTTTCATCTTCCTCCATAACTGAATGAATTAATTGTAATGATTATAAAAAAAAAATCCAACAATGCATGTTTAATTGTAATTATATTAATATTCGTGTAATTATTAGATTAATTAACATAATAATTATTAGTCAATTATATTAATATATTTACAATTAATTCTTTAATTACCATAATAATTATTATGTAATTATACTAATATTGTACAATTATACTATTATACATTTAGTATAAATAGGGGAAGAGATTAATGGTGATGTGGAGGTGTTGGGCGTACAAATTGAGAAAAAAAAAAAAAGGAGAGAATCATTGTGGATGCCCTAATAAGGGATGAAATTGTAATGATTACTTTTGCAATAATTTATACAATTATAAAGTAATAATTTATAAATTGCAAATTATTAGAGTAATTATTTTCCGTCAATAAAATTATTACTTTATATACGAATGAGTAAATACCCAAAATGGTCCCTCGACTATAGCTAAATTCACAAATTGGTCCTCAACTTTCAATTTCACCCAATTAAGTCCTTAACTTTGTAATTTTAACACAATTTGGTCCTCTGTCTATTTGACCGTTTGTTGACTGTGATTTTTGAGGATATATATGTAATTTCATGGTCCATCGTCGGTTTTTTAAGGTTTCGGTTGCATTTCCAGACCGCACTGTTACATTTGAATCCACTGTCGAAAGCAATCTACCAAACCCGGTCACCTTCTTCATCCTCCCTTTGGATTCAATGTAGTTGAATTCGTACCAGAGCGAAGAAGACGACGTGTTTCCGAACCGGTGCAACGTCATCCTGGAGGCCTCCACGTGCTCCGACGAGAGCTGAAGGTTCTTCTGGAGATCGTCGATCACGGTCAACAAACGGTCAATTAGATGGAGGACCAAATCGTGTCAAAATTGCAAAGTTAAGGACTTAATTGGGTGAAATTGAAAGTTGAAGACCAATTTATGAATTTAGCTATAATCGAGGGACCATTTTAGGTATTTACTCTATACGAATCATACGGTTAACTCTCTATATTGTGTTATCTAAAAACAGTATTAAAAAAAAAAAAAAAAAAAAAAAAAAAAACGGATCGTTTGTGAATTGAAGATCGAATCCAATCTGAGTTAACAACGAACACACATTTTCCTTCGACTATCTCTTTTAATTTTGTCAAAATATTTTTTATTTTATTTTATTTGCATGCAGTTTTGCAGTCTCCATGTAGTCCACTTTGTGCATAAACCTTTTTTAAATAATGGTTATATCTTATATACCAAATGTTTTTGTTGTCTAAGATTGATGCTGCTTTTGCCTCTAATCCAAGCAGGTTGAGTCTAAAAAATGAAATGAATTATAAATTTATATTAGGTCTAATATGTTTAAGGAAAAAGGGTCAAATAAGCCCTCAATCATTTGCTAAAGAGTCAATTAGCCCCTCTAATTTTTTAAATGTACAATTACACCCATAAACAATGCATTTTGATGCAATGAAACCCAAATACAGGTAAATGACCTGCTGTCATAGGTCATTGAAGGTCTGGCCATTTTCCGACGTATTTTCAGGTAAAAAAGTGACCGGTGACCGTCAAAAGGTCGCTAGTCATGGACTCCGGTGACCACTATGGTTGCCTTCTCCGGCGACAAGGTGACCATAGTGGTCACCGGAGAACGGTCGCCGGCCACTTTTTTGTATGAAAATACGTCGGAAAATAACCGGATCTTCAATGACCTATGATAGCAGGTCATTTACTTGTATTTGGGCTTCATTGCATCAAAATGCATTGTTTATGGGTGTAATTGCACCTTTAAAAAGTTAAAGGAGCTAATTGACTCTTTAACAAATATTTGAGGGCCTATTTAACCCTTTTCCCTATGTTTAAAGGATGCACAATAACTACTTAACATACAATGAATGTTGCAACGGTAATTATTTTTGAAATTTCTTTAATTTTTGGATTTGCAACTTGGGCTTATGCCTAATTATCCATCTATTAATTATTCATGGATTTGGGCCGTGTCCATAATTTTGGGCCTCACGACAGCGCATAATTGAAGTGGAAAAACAACTGTGAAAGAGAAAAGGGTTAGATATAGGCAAATTATGTTGTGGAACCGTGTCTATTTTGTAAGGATAAATTATATCGTGCACCGCGGTGCATAATTGAATATGCACCGCGCGTCAGATGCTACCGTGTGTTTAAACGATACTGTCAAAACGATGTCGTTTTATTTAATGAAAACAAACAGAATCTTTGTAAAAAATAACTCTGTTCTTCAGTTTCATTTTGTATACACTGCAGTTTCAGTTCAACACAACTACAGTTTCATTTAGATATAACTACAGTTTCATTCAATATTTATACACTCAAATATGTGAAAATGTTATTTAATTTTATTTTATATACACTATAATTTCATTAAAACACAACCACATGATCATTTGAATATAATTACAGCTTCATTGTACAATATACACTCAAATATGTGAAATGTTATTCAGTTTCATTTTATATATACTATAGTTTCATTTCACCACAACTACAGTATCATTTTGATATAACTGTAGTTTCATTTGATAATATAAAAATAATACGTGAGCCAGTGTCGGTTTAGATACATTGTAGTGTCTGACGCGCGGTGCATAATCGAT